TCTTCTCAACTGCTCATACCCTGAAACCTTCACATGCTGCTGCAGCTCCAGTCCCGGGTTCCACACCGGCTGCAGGGCCTTCAGGTCCACACTCTCCAGGGAGTGTCCCGGACACCTCCCCTCCATGTTCTCCAGAGGGGGTCCCAGACGCCTCCCCTCCATGTTCTCCAGAGGGGGTCCCGAACGCCTCTCCTCCACATTCTCCGGAGGGGGTCCCAGACGTCTCTCTTCCACATTTTCCAAAGAGGGTTCCCAAAGCCTCCTGTCCACACTCTCCAGCGTCGTCTCCGAGGGGGTTCCAGACGCCCCTCTCTCCTGTGCTATCACTCGAGTCAGACAACCCTGAGACCCGATTTGGTGTCCTTGGAGGAGAAGCTGCCGCATCACCAGAGCTCTCATCGCCTGCTGCAGCCCACGCAGAGCTGTCCATGCCTGCTTCCGCCCACGCAGAGCTGTCCACGCCTGCTGCCGCCCACAGAGAGCTCTCCTCGCCTGCTGCAGCATCACCAGAGCTCTCCTTTCCTGCAGCAGCATCACCAGAGCTCTCCTCACCAGCAGCAGCATCACCAGAGCTCTCCTTGCCTGCAGCAGCATCACCAGAGCTCTCCTCACCAGCAGCAGCATCACCAGAGCTCTCCTCGCCTGCAGCAGCATCACCAGAGCTCTCCTCACCTGCTGTAGCATCACCAGAGCTCTCATGGTCTGCTGCAGACCCATCTTCTCTGTCTGGTCCGCCATCTCCCTCATTTTCAGTTTCTGAGTATCCTGAGTCTAAGCCTGCCCCAGAATTCTCCTGGTTTCTGTCCAGACTGACCAGGATCAACCCACAGGGCTCCAGCTCTGCCTCGGCTGGCTATTGGGCTATCCTCCAGAGCCACAGCTCCGCCTTGGCCAGGCCCTGGGCCGACCTCCTGAGTTCCTGTTTTGTCTCAGCCTTGGGCCTGTTTCCTGAACTTTTGCTTTCCCTCAGATGCACCTAGGGTCATCTTCAGACTGTTTTGTTTTGCTTCCCAGGACTCTCCTGCCAGTTTTTGGTTAATCTTCATGCTTTTTCTGTAGATTTCTTTGTGCCCTCCGTCCTGGTTTTTGCCCCCCTCCACCCACTCAAGTCAGAGTTTATTTTGGAACTTCAGGAGCCATTCCTTAAAGAGGGGGCTCTGTCATGATTCTTGTTTTTTATGGTTCATTTTATTAGAATTTTCTGTTTCACTGTTTGGTCATCTTGTGCCTTACTTCCTTATTTCCTATTAGTTTTCTCCATTTCCTGTTTCATGTTATCCTCAGCAGCTTCTTAATATTTTTTCCAGCCTGCCACAGTCACCTGTCCATAGTCAGTAATCACCCATGTGGTATCACTCCCCAATCATCCTCAGTTGTATTTAACCAGTGTCGTGTCTTCATCACCCTGTTGGATCATTGCCTTTCATGCCTCGTCTCTGTCCATGTTTCCTTTTGTATTTTAGCTGCGATGCCAGTCTTTTCTTTTGTTATTTAATAAACCAGTTTTTGCTTTTTTATTTATCGAGTCTGCCTGCACTTTGAGTTCTACCACACCAATCATAACAGAATGATCCAACCACCAACAGAACCCAGCAGTCAGATATCTACATTCTGCTCAATACCTGCTCCACCCTCCAAAGTAAAACTGGACCCAGCCAACATTACAAGACTGTTTGAAAAGCTACAGCAAGGGCAGACTGAGTTGGCCAAGCTCTCTGCACTCTTCTCAACTGCTCATACCCTGAAACCTTCACATGCTGCTGCAGCTCCAGTCCCGGGTTCCACACCGGCTGCAGGGCCTTCAGGTCCACACTCTCCAGGGAGTGTCCCGGACACCTCCCCTCCATGTTCTCCAGAGGGGGTCCCAGACGCCTCCCCTCCATGTTCTCCAGAGGGGGTCCCGAACGCCTCTCCTCCACATTCTCCGGAGGGGGTCCCAGACGTCTCTCTTCCACATTTTCCAAAGAGGGTTCCCAAAGCCTCCTGTCCACACTCTCCAGCGTCGTCTCCGAGGGGGTTCCAGACGCCCCTCTCTCCTGTGCYATCACTCGAGTCAGACAACCCTGAGACCCGATTTGGTGTCCTTGGAGGAGAAGCTGCCGCATCACCAGAGCTCTCATCGCCTGCTGCAGCCCACGCAGAGCTGTCCATGCCTGCTTCCGCCCACGCAGAGCTGTCCACGCCTGCTGCCGCCCACAGAGAGCTCTCCTCGCCTGCTGCAGCATCACCAGAGCTCTCCTTTCCTGCAGCAGCATCACCAGAGCTCTCCTCACCAGCAGCAGCATCACCAGAGCTCTCCTTGCCTGCAGCAGCATCACCAGAGCTCTCCTCACCAGCNCTCCTCACCAGCAGCAGCATCACCAGAGCTCTCCTTGCCTGCAGCAGCATCACCAGAGCTCTCCTCACCAGCAGCAGCATCACCAGAGCTCTCCTCGCCTGCAGCAGCATCACCAGAGCTCTCCTCACCAGCAGCAGCATCACCAGAGCTCTCCTCGCCTGCAGCAGCATCACCAGAGCTCTCCTCACCTGCTGTAGCATCACCAGAGCTCTCATGGTCTGCTGCAGACCCATCTTCTCTGTCTGGTCCGCCATCTCCCTCATTTTCAGTTTCTGAGTATCCTGAGTCTAAGCCTGCCCCAGAATTCTCCTGGTTTCTKTCCAGACTGACCAGGATCAACCCACAGGGCTCCAGCTCTGCCTCGGCTGGCTATTGGGCTATCCTCCAGAGCCACAGCTCCGCCTTGGCCAGGCCCTGGGCCGACCTCCTGAGTTCCTGTTTTGTCTCAGCCTTGGGCCTGTTTCCTGAACTTTTGCTTTCCCTCAGATGCACCTAGGGTCATCTTCAGACTGTTTTGTTTTGCTTCCCAGGACTCTCCTGCCAGTTTTTGGTTAATCTTCATGCTTTTTCTGTAGATTTCTTTGTGCCCTCCGTCCTGGTTTTTGCCCCCCTCCACCCACTCAAGTCAGAGTTTATTTTGGAACTTCAGGAGCCATTCCTTAAAGAGGGGGCTCTGTCATGATTCTTGTTTTTTATGGTTCATTTTATTAGAATTTTCTGTTTCATTGTCTGTGATGGACTTGAGACCTGTCCAGGGTGTACCCCACCCCTCACACTGTGACTGCTGGATATGGGCACCAGTGACCCACGCAACCCTGAAAAGGAAGAAGCGTGTACAGAAAATGGATGGATGGATGTTTCATTGTTTGGTCATCTTGTGTCTTACCTTCTCATTTCCTGTTAGTTTTCTCCATTTCCTGTTTCATGTTATCCTCAGCAGCTTCTTAATATTTTTCCAGCCTGCCACACTCACCTGTCCATGGTCAGTAATCACCCATGCGGTTCCACTCCCCAGTCATCCTCAGTTGTATTTAACCAGTGTCATGTCTTCATCACCCTGTTGGGTCGTTGCCTTTCATGCCTCGTCTCTGTCCATGTTTTTGTAGCACCTTTAATGCTACAGTAAATAGTTACTCTAAGACCAGTACTAGGTTCGGCTTTGGGAGCAGATAATAGATGTAAATGTAATAATGACCACAGACCAGTGAATAACTTTGAACTGCCGGCTTATTATTTAGAAAAAAATAAAATAATAATTTTACAATTAACAGTTTACACACACAACACAATTTCAACAAGAAAAATAAAACTGTTCCCTGTCTTTTCCTTTGAAATTTCAGCTATAAACCCCTTTTTTTCTTTATTTAACAGAAATTGATTCAGCAAAAGACTGAATAGACCCTTAAATCAAATTGAATGTCCTTATCCTTTTGTGAATTCGGAAAGATTAGTGTCGTGTCTCTGAGTCCACTGCTATTTTAGCAGCAAAATCAGGTGAATCATACCAGTTCTGATGAAAACAACATCCAGCAGAAGAGTGCAGCTCCTACTGGTTYAAAGTTCAAGGGCTCTCTGGTTGGTGGCTCGCCATCTCAGTTCTCAATCCCGACATCCAACTCGACATTCAGCTTGATTTTTCATGGTCCAGTTTTCCAGTAGAACTTTAAAGGCCTGGTTTCATAACCAATAAAAGTGCAAAGAAAGGTCTGTTCAGCTAATTTGATACTAAATAAAAAATACACTCGCCAAGATGGCGGCTGAACATCCTAAGGGAAAACCATACTTCACCTAACATTCATTCTCACAATTTCTTTTGACATAAACAACATAAATATGCCAACATAGCTTTCCATCTTAACTAGAGGTGTCCCGATGCCGATACCAGTATCGGTATCGGGTCCGATACCAGCATCAAGTACTCATACTCGTTCTCGTAAAAGCCAGCCGATACTCTTAACCGATTCCGCTTTTGTCCCCTTTTTGTTCCTCCTGTGCTGCGCTGCAGCTTAATGGGTAAACAACAATCCATACCAGGCGGGGGCGCTAACGCACTGACAAGTTATTTCCGACCGCACCCTCGAATAACAGAAGAAGAACGATGAGAAGAAGAAGAAGTAACGTCGGCAGTTAATCGCTGGGGCAGATACCCACTCTGTCTGTGCTTCGTGTCTGGGGCTGCAACATGCCCAGGACGTGTTAGTGTCACCAGCTAACTGCGAGCACTGTGCACAGCTCTCCCTCAAATCTCGCCGATGCAGACTGGTGTGCCAAGCTAGCCTGTCGGATGTCGACCCGATGCTAGGAGTAACCAAACCCCCGCCACCGGTGGAACTCGTGGCGAACAACGAGGAAGAGCCCCCTCCAACCGGAGCCAGCTGGAGCAACTAGCTCGAGGCTGTCGCCCCACTGCTGGGCCCGGAGCAAGATGAGACGGACCTCCCGGTTTTCAGTAACCTTATTAGCATGGAAACTGACTGTGAGACGGAATCTGTTAGTCTCGGTTCTGAAGACTATGAGCAGGAAGGCGAAGTTTTCTCCATTCCACTGGCTGCAAAGCCCACGGAAACTAGCGACGCCCGCAGCGACTCACCAAACTCAACCGCACTGGACGTGCACGATGTCTGCAAAAGAATAGCTGCAAAGCTGGGCATTGCGTGGCTGGAAACCCCCATAGAGACCACCACGTTCTGATGTGAGGGGAAGAGGCTCCCAAGAGCCAAATCTTCAGCCAGACAACTGCTGCCGGTTTTTCCGGAATGTGTTGAGGAAGCGACCTGGTCCTGGAGTAATCCTCTCACTGCCAAAAACCCCATCCTGGGAGGGTCGGCGCTTGACTGGACCGGCATGGAAAACAGCGGTTTTTCACGTCAGCCTCCGGTAGAACCTCTGCTGGCTTTTCACTTGCATCCGTCACAGAAACCGACCATAACAATGGCRGGACCCACCTTCCGGACCCACCCTCCMGTTTAAGGCCGATTCGTTTCAGTCAGCTTTAAATGAAAATAGCTACAAGGCAGCAGCAGCATCAGTGAAGGCCCTGAACGCATCATCTCTTCTTCTCGCTTACCAAGCGGAACTGCAGGACGAGATGACGGGCGCACCGACAGCAGATCTGTGGGACGAGCTGCGCGTTGTGACAGACCTCTCTGCCTGCATCTCCACAGAAGCGCAGTTCAGGCTTCAGGGAGAGCTCTGATGGTCACCCAGGAGAGAGCTAGGTGGCTAAACCTCTCTAGCCTGTCTCAAAGAGAGAAAACCCAACGCCTCGATGCTTCGATGGACCCAAAGGGCTTGTTCAGCCCCACTGTGGCAACCATGCAAAAACGCTGTGAGGAGAAAAAGAGAGAAGACGAGGTGCTTAAACTGTGTCTGCCCAGATGAGCACAGCCTCCTCCACCCGCGGCACCCCGCCAGACGTTTGCTCAGGCAGCAGCCCGGCCGGTCTACCGCATCCCGAGACGCCCACCTCAGTCGCAGTCGGCGGACCGAGACTGGGGGAAGCAGACCGGGCTCAAAGGAGCTTGGGGACGAAAACCATTCGCACCACCGGCGGCAACATCAGGAACCCCAGCGGCCCCTCCTGCCACTGTGAGTGCGAAGAAAAAGAGGTGAGCTACCTAGGGAACCGCCTTCACGGTGGGAGAACAGGCACTGGCAGACCCCCCACCGGGAAACGTACTGTCCCAGTTCAAGTTCACGGAACCACGTTCAGGACATTTCAAACAGCCTGCAGGGTCGATGTTGGAGCTCACAGTTCATAGCCAAATGAAGAGGAGAAAGATGACGCACACAGAGAGCTCAGTGGAGCCACAGCTGTAGTCACAAAGCACACACCAGTGCACAAACACACACCAGTGTCTGAAAACACATTTCTCTCCCTTCCCAAAAAACAAAATAAAAATGTCCCCCTGCGCGCAACCAGGCAAAGTGCCGAGGGCGCCCACAAAACAAACAACAAAAAAAAAAACATGAAAAAAAAATGTTAAAAATGTCTCAAGGACAGAACGCAGCCATGCGGCCGCACATGAGGCCAGTAGGGGGAGCTCTGGCTCCACCTTTGGCACAGCGGAATGCTGTCTCTGTAAAAGAGAAAGCGGACCAACAGCGCCCACGGCTGAAAACTGCAGTAATGCAGCTCCCTCAGCTGTGATTACAAACAAGGCCTGTAGATGGAGCTCCTGCTCCATTTTTGACACAGCCAGCTGCACCCTCTGTAAAAACAGAGAGCAGCCACAGCTGAAAGCTGTAATTTTACAGCACAGTGTTTTTATAGAAACACTCCCTGGCCCACTAGCAGGAAGAATACAACTATGGAAAGCATGTGGGKCATTAGATTGGGTAATAATGTGATGATTCTGCTCTGTGCCTGCCCTGCTCTGCTTAATTGGTTCCAAGGCTCTCCACTTCCCACAGCTGTTTCCACTCTCCTGATGAGGCTCACTGGCTTTAAAAAGCTCATTCTGAGACTTGGTCTTCGCTGGAGCATCACGCCTTCTGGGTACCTCTCCTGGCCACCTTGCTTTAATGTTTAACAGCAAGTATTATTTCTCTAGAACTTCTAAGTGTGTTTTTTGGAACCTTGTTGTTTTTATTCCCCTTGTTCTCAGACCTTACCCAACCTCCTTGCCAGTGTCAGCCTCCTGGAATCAGCTTACAAGTTGGACTCACCTGTGGAACTAACTGTTGGACTTTTTGGACTGCCTCTTCTGCTTCTTGATTCTTGGAACCTCAGTTCTCTTTTCCACGTGCCTCCTCCCAAGTTGTCTGCCTCCAGAGTTACTGTAAGATACCACAAAAAAACCCTTTAATCTCAAGATCTTTTTGTCCAATAACTTCTGCTGAGACTCATCCTGCCTCTCCTTGTGTTTTCAGTTCTTGCTGAACCTAGCCTCCCCGGATCTTGTTCCCTTTGTTGCACATTCTAGTTTTTTGTTGTTCACCACCTTGTAAATAGATCACTTGAATTTTACTCTGGCTCCTGGTCTTGGTTCTGGTCCCGCTCATCTTGAGACTATTGTCAATTCGTGACAAATAAAGACCGTATCCAAAGGTTACAGTCTCCAATTTGGAACAAGCCCACCCCAGTTCAGAGGCATAATACAATCTCAAGCCTGGGGAAAACATGCACAAATTTTACAGGAGGAAATAATCTCTCTGCAGAACAAAGGAGCCATCTGACTGGTCCCACAGGAGCAGAGCAAAGACGACTTTTTCTCCAGGTATTTCCTCGTCCCGAAAAAAGGAGTGGGCCTGCGACCAATATTAGACCTGCAAGCTCTGAACACATACCTGAGACGGTATACATTCAGGATGATGACACACACAGCTCTGATGAAGTTTGTGCGTCAAGGAGACTGGTCTATCTCTGYAGATTTAAAAGACGCATATTTTCACATCCCTATTTACCCTCCTCACAGAAAATACCTCAGATTCGCATTTCAGGGGAAAACATACTAATATCTCGTACTCCCGTTTGGCCTCTCACTGAGCCTACGC